ATGATCAGCACGAGACTAAAATAACATCAGAGAAATATGAAATATCTTCTTGGTTCTTTCTTGGTTCTTTCGGTAAAGTCACGTAGAAGGGAAATAATAAAATAATAAAAATAAAAATAATAAAATTATTCTCACGACGTTTCGGCCACAACGCAAGCAGCCGTCCTCAGGTGAAAACCAGGTCTGTCGGGGAGACAGCGTCTGAACGCCTCGACAGACCTGGTTTACACCTGTTGTGGCCGAAACGTCGTGAGAATTATTTTATTATGTTTTATTTTTATTATTTTATTACTTCCCTTCTACGTGACTTTACCGAAAGAACCAAGAAGATGAATCCCTGCAGTCACGAAAGCTTTAAATATAATTATTTTATTATGTTTTATTTTTATTATTTTATTATTTCCCTTCTACGTGACTTTACCGAAAGAACCAAGAAGATGAATCCCTGCAGTCACGAAAGCTTTAAATCGAAAAATATGATATACTCACAAATATAACTGTCAGCAGTAGCAGAACACGCGTGTGATATGCCGCACCCGCCGCGGTATTAATCAGGGCGCCCGCCCGACTCGAACCGCGAACTTCCGCTAACAACGGGCGGATGATGGTGATGATGGTGATGATGCTGATGATGGTGATGATGGTGATGATGGTAACGCTACCAATGATGGTGATGATGCTGATGATGGTGATGATGGTGATGATGGTAACGCTACCAATGATGGTGATGATGCTGATGATGGTGATGGTGATGATGGTAACGCTACCAATGATGATGATGTTGATGGTGATGATGCTGATGATGGTGATGGTGATGATGGTAACGCTACCAATGATGATGATGTTGATGGTGATGATGGTGATGATGGTGATGGCGCTGATGGTAACGCTACCAATGATGGTGATGATGCTGATGATGGTGGCACTGATGATTATGATGGTGGTGGTGACGCTACCAATGATGATGATGGTGATGATGGTGATGATGGTGATGATGGTGATGGCGCTGATGGTAACGCTACCAATGATGGTGATGATGCTGATGATGGTGGCACTGATGATTATGATGGTGGTGGTGACGCTACCAATGATGATGATGTTGATGGTGATGATGGTTATGATGGTGATGATGGTGATGGCGCTGATGGTAACGCTACCAATGATGGTGATGATGCTGATGATGGTGGCACTGATGATTATGATGGTGGTGGTGACGCTACCAATGATGATGATGTTGATGGTGATGATGGTGATGATGGTGATGGCGCTGATGGTAACGCTACCAATGATGGTGATGATTATGATGATGGCACTGATGATTGTGATTATGGTGGTGACGCTACCAATGATGATGATGATGATGTTGATGATGGTGACACTGATGATTATGATGATGGTACTGATGATTATAATTATGGTGGTGACGCTACCAATGATGATGATGATGATGGTGGCACTGATGATGATGATGATGGCACTGATGATGATGATGATGGCACTGATGATGGCACTGATGATTATGATGATGGCACTGATGATTATGATGATGGCACTGATGATTATAATTATGGTGGTGACGCTACCAATGATGATGATGATGATGGTGGCACTGATGATGATGATGATGGCACTGATGATTATGATGATGGCACTGATGATTATGATGATGGCACTGATGATTATGATGATGGTCGTGATGCTACCAATGATGATGCTGATGATGGTGGCCCTGATGATGATGATGGCACTGATGATGATGATGATGGCACTGATTATGATGATGGCACTGATGATTATGATGATGGTCGTGATGCTACCAATGATGATGCTGATGATGGTGGCCCTGATGATGATGATGGCACTGATGATGATGATGGCACTGATGATGATGATGGCACTGATGATTATGATGATGGTCGTGATGCTACCAATGATGATGCTGATGATGGTGGCCCTGATGATGATGATGGCACTGATGATGATGATGGCACTGATGATTATGATGGCACTGATGATTATGATGATGGTCGTGATGCTACCAATGATGATGCTGATGATGGTGGCCCTGATGATGATGATGGCACTGATGATGCTGATGGCACTGATGATTATGATGATGGCACTGATGATTATGATTATGGTCGTGATGCTACCAATGATGATGCTGATGATGGTGGCCCTGATGATGATGATGGTGGCCCTGATGCTGATGATGGTGGCCCTGATGATTATGATGATGGCACTGATGATTATGATTATGGTCGTGATGCTACCAATGATGATGCTGATGATGGTGGCCCTGATGATGATGATGGTGGCCCTGATGCTGATGATGGTGGCCCTGATGATGATGATGATGATGGCCTTGATGATGACGATGCCCCCCCTCCCCCCACCCACCCCCTCCCCCAGTCGTTATCTCGCCCTTCTTCTCCGACCACGCGTTCATCGCCCGGCCCGAGGTGCTGAGCGCTCACGCCCACACGCCCACGGGGGTCACCCTCGAGGCCGCCGTGGGGGTCACCCCGCGGGTCACGTGGCCCCGTGGTGGGGGAGGGGCAGGGGGGGGCAGGCGACGTGGGGCGGTGAGACGGCGAGGTGGAGGAGGAGGTGGAGGAGGTGGTGGAGGAGGTGGAGGAGGGAAAGGAGGAGAATTTGGAACACGACTTCTGGTCGTTGTGTCGACATCACCAGTCGGAGTTCAACCGCCACCACCACAGCAACCACAACCACAACCACCACAACCACCACAACCACCAGCACCACCAAACTCGGCTCGATACCGGCTTCGCAAGCACACGCAGCACGGAGGCAGCAGCAGCAGCAGCAAGCGCCCGCGTGTTGATGGTGGTGATGGTGGTGATGGTGGCGGTGGTGGTGTTGATGATGATGGTGATACTGACGGTGGATACGGCATTCACAACGATACCAGTAATGGTTGTGACTACATTGACCATCACGAGGATGAGGATGATGATGATGTTGACTATGAAGATGATGATGATGTTGGTGATGGTGAGGATGATGATGAGGATGATGTGGAGGCGTCACTCTGGAGGAGACACCACGTGACGAGTCCCGACGGCAGCGCCGCGTGCTGCATCATCCAGAGCGCGAGACGAGACGGAGACGTCAACAACAACACCATCAACAACACCAACAACAACAACATCAACAACAACAACACGAAGAAGGACGCGTCGAGAATCCGATCGCGGCTAACGACTCCGACTGAGACGTCTTTGGCGCTTCGCGGTGAAGACGGCGCGGAGACAAAGCAGCAGATCGATGGTGGTGATGGTGGTGATGGTGGTGATGGTGGTGGTGATAGTGGTGGTGATGGTGGTGATGGTGGTGGCGGTGGAGTCAACGGACCCGCGGAATGCCCCACGTCCGATGTCCAACCGAGGGTCCATTGCACAAAGTGCGGAGACTCGTTCCTGTCCGCGTGCGCTCTGGCGAGGCACGGCCGGTGTCCTCCCGTCGCAGGCTCCACACCAACCTCGCTCCACCACCACCAAGCCTCGCAACCACCACCACCACCACCGCTGCTGCCACCACCACCATCGTCATCATCGTCGTCTTCATCGTCGTCGTCTTCATCGACGACTCGCAAGGCGTTCACTTGCAAGTTCTGCGCCAAGGAGTACGTGAGCCTGGGGGCGCTGAAGATGCACATCCGCACACACACGTTGCCCTGCGTGTGCAAGATCTGCGGCAAGGCGTTCTCGCGGCCCTGGCTGCTGCAGGGACACGTGCGCACGCACACCGGTGAGTGGCCGGCGACTCGTGCGTCGAGAATGTTTGTTTGTGTTGATGTTGTTGTTGTTGTGTGGATCGCTGTGTGCGTGCGTGCGTGGGTGTGTGGGTTATCTATCATGATTTATCATCATTCATCATCATCATCATCATCTATCATGATTCATCATCTATCATCATTCATTATCCATCATCATCATCATCCATCATCAATCATCATCCCTCATCATCATCATCCATCATCATCATCCATCATCATCCATCATCATCATCCATCATCATCATCTATCATCCATCATCCATCAATCATCATCCATCATCATCCATCATCATCATCTATCATCCATCATCCATCCATCATCATCCATCATCATCATCCATCATCATCATCATCATCATCCATCATCATCATCCATCATCATCATCTATCATCCATCATCCATCCATCATCATCCATCATCATCATCATCATCCATCATCATCATCCATCATCATCCATCATCATCATCCTCCATCATCATCATCCTCCATCATTATCCATCATAATCATCTATCATCATCATCCATCATCATCATCTATCCATCATCATCCATCATCATCATCTATCATCGTCGTCGTTATCGCGTGGAAATGTACAGCGGCCAAAGACTCTAAACGCGTGGAGACGTTGACCTGGAGACAGATCCACGCGACCACGGGGAGAGAGAGAGACACGCAAACTCCAAATATACAGCAGCAGGCGTCAGGGTCGGGATCGAACCCACGACCTCCTGTACACCAGGCGAGGTAGTTAACATCTTCTAGCCACCGTGATGATGATGAGAGACACGCAAACTCCAAATATACAGCAGCAGGCGTCAGGGTCGGGATCGAACCCACGACCTCCTGTACACCAGGCGAGGTAGTTAACATCTTCTAGCCACCGTGATGATGATGAGAGACACGCAAACTCCAAATATACAGCAGCAGGCGTCAGGGTCGGGATCGAACCCACGACCTCCTGTACACCAGGCGAGGTAGTTAACATCTTCTAGCCACCGTGATGATGATGAGAGACACGCAAACTCCAAATATACAGCAGCAGGCGTCAGGGTCGGGATCGAACCCACGACCCCCTGTGTACCAGGCGAGGTAGTCAACATCTCCTAGCCACCGTCGCGAGATGTGAGTCACTCGCACCGCAAAGACAAAGCCCCCCTCTTCTCCCGTATAGCTTCAACAGACTGCAGGGGCAAGTGCTGTGAGCGAGCACCTACGAAGGCCGGCACGGCACACGAGGGGGTGGGTGCCCAGCACCACACCACAACAGCTGGTGGTGCATCTACCGGTCATCTCAGTCGGCCAACCCACGGCACCTGCTGGGTCTGTTCCGAGACCTCCTCCTGCACCTAGCCTGGCACAGTAGGGGGTACAGTTGGTGGTGCATCTACCGGTCATCTCAGTCAAGCCAACCCACGGCACCTGCTGGGTCTGTCCCGAGACCTCCTCCTGCACCTAGCCTGGCATAGTAGGGGGTACAGCTGGTGGTGCATCTACCGGTCATCTCAGTCGGCTATCCCATGGCACCTGCTGGGTCTGTCCCGAGACCTCATGCACCTAGCCTGGCACAGTAGGGGGTACAACAGCTGGTGGTGCATCTACCGGTCATCTCAGTCGGCCAACCCATGGCACATACAGGGTCTGTCCCGAGACCTCATGCACCTAGCCTGGCACAGTAGGGGGTACAACAGATAGTGATGCATCTACCGCTCATCTCAGTCGGCCAACCCATGGCACCTACAGGGTCTGTCCCGGGACCTCCTGCCAGCAGCGAGCCTTCCACACCACACGTGGCCTCAAGGTGCACCTAGCCTGGCACACCACACATGGCCTCAAGGTGCACCTAGCCTGGCACAAGCTCCGTGATTACGTCAGGGCCACTTATTGACGAATGGCGGCTGCTGTTTTTGTTGTTTAACATCGGGAGTGGTGGCGCAGTGGTTAGCGCAGCACTGCGCCATCCGAAATCC